TGTGAACATGTGATCGATTGCCTCAGTGAAGAGGCGTGAAGTTGTTTTGGGGAGTTGTTTACTCTTCCTCCACAACAAACACATGAGAAAGAGCAACACAGGCGTCTTAGCAAAATAACGCAGTGTGTTGGACTTTTCGATGGTTTGGATTAGTGCTTTGCCAATATCAGGATCTTTGTCGTAGAATTTTTGAACGTAGTCATTAACATCCTCGTCAGTAAACCCCAGAACCTCTACATGTGTGCAAGGATCTTGGACAAGTGTTTCTGACATCAGTGACATCAGTGGCATCAGTATCTTAAGATGAGAGGGGCGAGTGGAGATACATACGAGACATTCCTTGTACACTGTTCTATTGAGTGCTTTTAGGATAGAACCGAATGAGGCTGCATTGAGTTTTTTGGTCTTCATTTCATCAAAACCATCCAAAAGAATCAAGACCTCATTTGGGTTGGCCAGGATGAATTCATCAAGTTCATCCTTTTCTATTCCAGACTTTTTGCCAAGAAGTTGATCAAAAGTTGAATCAACAAGATCAGATTTTTGCGACAGGGCACACATCTTTAAAAGAAAGACAAGCTTGAATCCGTTCAGGATTTCGCTTGTCTCATCGGCCCAGTCGTATGCAATCTTATCAAACATGGTTGACACTCTGACCATTCCCACGTCAAAGAAAATGAGGCGTTTGATGAGTTCCCCAAATCTTGCTCTCCTGAATATTTTGGAATATTCCGTTGAGGTAATAATGTCTTCTTGGCCAGTGACAAATGTCCTCCCTTCACGTGTTTTAAATTGTACTTTAGTGTTTATACCAGCTATGTGCATTTGGTCATTATCAACACCAGGCAACAACTTCACAGAACTGCACGTTGTTTTATAAACTCCTTTCAAAACATCCCTAGTCTTTTTACCAGCTTCTTGGCTGGGATCTGTCCACCTTGGATCTTGGTCTGGTCTCTGACTTTGCTGAGGTCTGGGTGCAGGCACTCCTATTCAGATCAAAACAAGCAATATGTATTGCTTGAATTAAACAATGTTTATGAAACAGATTGAATTGTCTTCCATACAAGAAAACATATAAAAGAAATTATGACTTGTGAATATCAGTGAATCAGTAATGCATTGCACAAAATACATTTGCCAAAAAGTCAATTACGTAAAATGTTTAGGATTTTGTACACAAACTTGTCAAGGATTGCCTTTATACGTTGTCATTATAGTACATTCAATTTTGTTCACACCAACAAAAATAGATTCAGACAATTCTGTGAGTCCCATTTGCAGTAGTTTGAGCCAGATAATCATTATTATGACATTCAAACTTATTGGGTTTTTTATTAGGAAAAGTGTAATTATGCAGGACAAATTGTCATTTTGACCTGGACGAGAGTCAGGTCCTATCTGACCCGGATTCTGGGTCGAATCTGACCCAGGACTTATAAGAGTGTAAGTTTGACTTTGATGGCAAACCACTGTGTCGTACATAGAGGGCGAACAGCTAATTGTCTGACACCCAACCCGACCCTACTGAAGATCTGAATCAACCATGTCTTATGATGTTCGTGTAAAATTGCAAACAGGCATCCTGGAATGACACTTTTCAGTGATCTGTTTTGTTCTTTGGAATGTGCACAAGTCTCCAATTTCACATTGTTAATTATTGTTTTTGTAGGACACACAGTTGAGATTTTCCCGAAACAAAACTGTCATCATAGCTAGAAAAAAACAAAAATGTTTTTATGTCAAACGTGGCCAAGAGCAACATATCCCCATTTTCATGAAACCTTCGCCTCAAGTTCAGTTTCGTAGTTATGTTCAGCATACCCAAATATTCTTATTTCCCCCCCCCCCCGGCTCTTTAATCTCATCTTGTAAACTGATTGCTATCAATTATTGAGAATGTTAACACTTGGATCACGTAATAAGTAGTAACTCAAGGCAAGTGAGTTTCCACGTGAACATTAAGCGACATGAACCCGGACTGTAACTCATCCAATCCATCCAATCCCGGGTTGCCAGCAAGGTACAAGTCAGTCAGGCTTGGCATGTCACCTACTGCCAAGGTAACACGTCCAATGTCTGATGGTGTCAAGTTGCAATGGCTCAAGTCCAGCCTACTTAAGTGCCTCATTTTTTGCAATGCTGTGGCCCACAACTCGGCCGACGCGCCCAAAGCTTTGTTCTTATCCAGGATCAAGTCAGTAAGTTTGGGCATGTTGCATACAGCCGAGGCAATGTGTTCAAAGTCCGACGGTGTCAATTTGCAATCTCCAAGGACCATCCTTTTTAAGTGGACCATTTTGGGCAATTCCTTGGCCCACAACTGAGCCGATTCAGCCAATTTCCAGCCGGGGGCAAGTATCAAGTCGGTCAGTCTGGGCATGTTGCCTACAGCCGAGGCAATGTGTTCAATGTCTGTTGGTATCAAAGAACAATGTTTCAGATCCAGCTTTTTTAAGTGCATCATTTTTGGCAATTCCTTCGCCCACAGCTCAGCCGATCCACCCAATCTACGGTTGCCAGCCAGGATCAAGTCAGTCAGTCTGGGCATGTCACCTACAGCCGAGGCAATGTGTTCAATGTCTGTAGGATTTGCAACAAAATTTCCCAGGTCCAGCCTACTTAAGTGCGTCACTTTCAGCAATTCCTTGGCCCACAACTTAGCATTTCCGCCCAAATTCCCGTTGCCGGCAAGGATCAAGTCAGTCAGTCTGGGCATGTCAGCTACAGTAGCAATAATGTGCTCAGCATCTGATACTGTATAGCTGCAATCACTCAGGTCCAGCCTGTTTAAGTGCCTCATTTTCAGCAATTCTGTGGTCCACAAATCAACCGTTCCACCCAATCTCACGTTGGTAGCAAGGCTCAAGTCGGTCAGTTTGGGCATGTTGGCTACAGCTGAGGCAATGTGTTCCATGCTGTCCCAACCCAGTACACGGCAAGCCAACTCAAGTCTGTTGAGGCTTGTCAAGTGTTTGATATGAGGGGCCCATTCTACAGCTCTCCTTGAAGCGATATTTAAGCCCAGTTCGGTCAAGTGTTGGTTGCCTTTCAGCGACGACAGGATCTTCCTATGACCACCATTCCATGAATGACATCTGTTAATCCTCAGACTCCTGAGGTTTTCCATGTAACCCAGGGCGAATGATAAATCACTGACCCCAGACACACGAGAAACAGAAATAGCTGTAACACGAGAAATAGAAATAGCTGTAACACGTGCCAGCTGCGTCGTGCGGCTGTCTGACCTACAGATGATTTCAAGAAGGTACATGAGACTTTGGAATTCACTATCTTTATGCACCTCGATAGTTGATGGGATTAGTGAGTCACTGGTGAGACTGAGTGGGACCTTTGCTGACTGGCTTTCAAGAAAGCAATTGCGACTAATCGCTTGTATGACATTCGATTGGTACCTGGGCTCATCCTTATTGAACTTACTGTCAAGCAAGTTTATGATGTCCATCATGCACTTCTCGTTGTCACCACAACAAAAACGAAAGAGAAACTCATTGGAAACAACACCCTCAAATGTGGAACACAGTTGATTCAAAATCCTCTGATATTTAAACATGTTCAATTTGTTCTTCACACGGGTCAACAATCCAACGGTTGATGAAAGGTTCAGACTCTGCAAGTATTTTGCTGCACAGTATTCCTGCACAGTCTTGTGCATGAATTGTATGTTGTTATTGGACTTGTTTTTGATAACTCTCTGTTGGGTCAGGATGCCTGCTTTCAGTGCCAGCTCCAGCGCCTTCGGTTCAAACTCATCTTCTTGAAATGAGAATTTCTTGTTGGCACTTGTGAGTCCATGCAGCGCAATTTTTCCTATGGCAATCACTGTGTTTGATGCATAGTATCCAGAGAGATGTTTTCTTGTGAACATGTGATCGATTGCCTCAGTGAAGAGGCATGAAGTTGTTTTGGGGAGTTGTTTACTCTTCCTCCACAACAAACACATGAGAAAGAGCAACACAGGCATCTTAGCAAAATAACGCAGTGTGTTGGACTTTTTGAATGTTTGGATTAGTGTTTTGCCAATATCAGGATCTTTGTCGTAGAATTTTTGAATGTAGTCATTAACATCCTAGTCAGTAAACCCCAGAACCTCTACATGTGTGCAAGGATCTTGGACAAGTGTTTCTGACATCAGTGACATCAGTGGCATCAGTATCTTAAGATGAGAGGGGCGAGTGGAGATACATACGAGACATTCCTTGTACACTGTTCTATTGAGTGCTTTCAGGATAGAACCGAATGAGGCTGCATTGAGTTTTTTGGTCTTCATTTCATCAAAACCATCCAAAAGAATCAAGACCTCATTTGGGTTGGCCAGGATGAATTGATCTAGTTCATCCTTTTCTATTCCAGACTTCTCGCCAAGAAGTTGATCGAAAGTGGAATCGACAAGATCAGATTCTTGCGACAGGGCACACATCTTTAAAAGAAAGACAAGCTTGAATCCGTTCAGAATTTCGCTTGCCTCATCGGCCCAATCGTATGCAATCTTATCAAAAATGGTTGACACTCCGACAATTCCCATGCCAAAGAAAATGAGGCGTTTGATGAGTTCCCCAGTTCTTGTCCTCAATCTGAATATTTTGGAATATTCCGTTGAGGTAATAATGTCTTCTTGGCCAGTGACAACTACATCCCATTCCTTTGTTTCTAATTGCACTTTAGTGTATACACCAGCTATGTGCATTTGGTCATTGTCAACCCCGGGCAACAACGTCACTGAACTGCCTGTTCTTTTATAAACTCCTTTCAAAACATCCCTGGTCTTTGTACCAGCTTCTTGGCAGAGATCTGTCAACCTTGGTTCTTGGTCTGGTCTCTGACTTTGCAGAAGTCTGGGTGCAGGTACTCCTATTCAGATCAAAACAAGCAACATGATTTGCTTCAATAAAGCAATGTTTATGAAACAGATTGAATTGTCTTCCACACAACAAAACATGAAAAATAAATTATGACTTGGGATTTCCAGTATTTTAGTAATGCAATGCACAAAATACATTCACCAAGAAGTAAATAACTAAATGTTTAGGAGTTTGTACACAAACTTGTCAAGGTTTGCCTTTATACGTTGTCATTATAGTACATTCAATATTGTTTACACCAACAAAAATAGATTCAGATAATTCTGTGAGTCGCATTTGCAGTAGTTTGAGCCAGATAATCATCATTATGACATTCAAACTTATTGTTTTTTTTATTAGGAAAAGTGTAATTTTGCAGGACAAATTGTCATTTTGACCTGGACGAGAGTCAGGTCCTATCTGACCCGGATTCTGGGTCGAATCTGACCCAGGACTTATAAGAGTGTAAGTTGACTTTGATGGCAAACCACCGTTCCGTACATAGAGGGCGAACAGCTAATTGTCTGACACCCAACCCGACCCTACTGAAGATCTGAATCAACCATGTCTTATGATGTTTGTGTAAAATTGCAAACAGGCATCCTGGAATGACACTTATCAGTGATCTGTTTTGTTCTTTGGAATGTGCACAAGTCTCCAATTTCAAAGTGTTAATTATTGTTTTTGTAGGACACACGGTTGAGATATTCTCGAAAACAAAACTGTCAGTGTGGCTCAAAAAAAACCCCACTGTTTTTATGTCAAATGTGGCTGAGAGCAACATATCCCAATTTTCACAAAACCTTCGCCTAAACTTTAGTTTCGTAGTTCTGTTCAGCATACCCAAATATTCTTATTTCCCCCAGCTCTTTAATTTCGTCTTGTAAACTGATTGCTATCAATTATTGAGAATGTCAACACTTGGATCATGTGATAAGTAGTAACTCAAGACAAGTGAGTTTCCACGTGAACATTAAGCGACGGGAGGCGGGACTGTAACTCGTCCAATCCATCCAATCCCGGGTTGCCAGCAAGGAAAAAGTCAGTCAGGCTTGGCATGTCACCTACCGCAGAGGTGACACGTCCAATGTCTGACGGTGTCAAGTTGCAATGGCTCAAGTCCAGCCTACTTAAGTGCCTCATTTTCGGCAATGCCGTTGCCCACAACTCGGCCGACGCGCCCAAAGCTTTGTTCTTATCCAGGATCAAGTCAGTCAGACTGGGCATGTTGCATACGGCCGAGGCGATGTGTTCAAAGTCCGACGGTGTCAATTTACATTCTCTCAGGACCAGTCTTTTTAAGTGGACCATTTTGGGCAATTCCTTGGCCCACAACTGAGCCAATTCAGCCAATTTCCAGTTGGGGGCAAGTATCAAGTTGGTCAGTCTGGGCATGTTGCCTACAGCCGAGGCAATGTGTTCAATGTCTGTTGGTAACAAAGAACAATGTTTCAGATCCAGCTTTTTTAAGTGCATCATTTTTGGCAATTCCTTCGCCCACAGCTCAGCCAATCCGCCCAATCTACGGTTGCCAGCCAGGATCAAGTCAGTCAGTCTGGGCATGTCACCTGCAGCTGAGGCAATGTGTTCAATGTCTGTAGGATCCAAAACATAATTGCCCAGGTCCAGCCTATTTAAGTGCGTCACTTTCGGCAATTCCTTGGCCCACAACTTAGCATTTCCGATCAAATTCCCATTGCCGGCAAGGATCAACTCAGTCAGTTTGGGCATGTCAGCTACAGTTGCGATAATGTGTTCAGCGTCTGATACTGAATAGCTGCAATCACTCAGGTCCAGCCTGTTTAAGTGCCTCATTTTCAGCAATTCTGTGGTCCACAAATTGACCGTTCCGCCCAATCTCACGTTGGTAGCAAGGCTCAAGTCAGTCAGTTTGGGCATGTTGGCTACAGCTGAGGCAATGTGTTCCATGCTGTCCCACCCTAGCGCCTGGCAAGCCAACTCAAGTCTGTTGAGGCTTGTCAAGTGTTTGATATGAGGGGCCCATTCTACAGCTCTCCTTGAAGAGATATTCAAGCCCAGATCGGTCAAGTGTTGGTTGCATTTCAGCGATGACAGGATCTTCACATGACCACCATTCCATGAAGAACATCTGTACAGCCTCAGACTCCTGAGGTTTTCCATGTAACCCAGGACGAATGCTAGATCACTGACGGCAGACACACGGGAAATAGAAATATCTGTAACTCGTGCCAGCTGCATCTTGCAGCTGTCTGACCTACAGATGATTTCAAGAAGGTACATAAGACTTTGGAAATCATCATTTTTAAACACCTCGATAGTTGATGGGATGAGTGAGTCGCTGGTGAGACAGAGTGGGACCTTTGCTGACTGGCTTTCAAGAAAGCAATTGCGACTAATCGCTTGTATGACACTTGATTGGTACCTGGGCCTATCCTTATTGAACTTACGGTCAAGCAAGTTTACGATGTCCATCATGCACTTCTCGTTGTCACCGCAACAAAAACGAAAGAGAAACTCATTCGAAACAACACCCTCAAATGTTGAACACAGTTGATTCAAAATCCTCTGATATTTAATCATGTTCAATTTGTTCTTCACACGCGTCAACAATCCAACGGTTGATGAAAGGTTCAGACTCTGCAAGTATTTTGCTGCACAGTATTCCTGCACAGTCTTGTGCATGAATTTTATGTTGTTATTGGACTTGTTTTTGATAACTCTCTGTTGGGTCAGGATGCCTGCTTTTAGTGCCAGCTCCAGCGCCTTCGGTTCAAACTCATCTTCTTGAAATGAGAATTTCTGGTTGGCACTTGTGAGTCCATGCAGCGCAATTTTTCCTATGGCAATCACTGTGTTTGATGCATAGTATCCAGAGAGATGTTTTCTTGTGAACATGTGATCGATTGCCTCAGTGAAGAGGCGTGAAGTTGTTTTGGGGAGTTGTTTACTCTTCCTCCACAACAAACACATGAGAAAGAGCAACACAGGCGTCTTAGCAAAATAACGCAGTGTGTTAGACTTTTCGATGGTTTGGATTAGTGCTTTGCCAATATCAGGATCTTTGTCGTAGAATTTCTGAACGTAGTCATTAACATCCTCGTCAGTAAACCCCAGAACCTCTACATGTGTGCAAGGATCTTGGACAAGTGTTTCTGACATCAGTGACATCAGTGGCATCAGTATCTTAAGATGAGAGGGGCGAGTGGAGATACATACGAGACATTCCTTGTACACTGTTCTATTGAGTGCTTTCAGGATAGAACCGAATGAGGCTGCATTGAGTTTTTTGGTCTTCATTTCATCAAAACCGTCCAAAAGAATCAAGACCTCATTTGGGTTGGCCAGGATGAATTGATCAAGTTCATCCTTTTCTATTCCAGACTTTTTGCCAAGAAGTTGATCAAAAGTTGAATCAACAAGATCAGATTTTTGCGACAGGGCACACATCTTTAAAAGAAAGACAAGCTTGAATCCGTTCAGGATTTCACTTGTCTCATCGGCCCAGTCGTATGCAATCTTATCAAACATGGTTGACACTCCGACTATTCCCGTGCCAAAGAAAATGAGGCGTTTGATGAGTTCCCCAAATCTTGCTCTCCTTCTGAATATTTTGGAATAATCCGTTGAGGTAATAATGTCTTCTTGGCCAGTGACAAATGCTCTCCCTTCCCGTGTTTTAAATTGTACTTTCGTGTTTATACCAGCTATGTGCATTTGGTCATTATCAACACCAGGCAACAACTTCACAGAACTGCACGTTGTTTTATAAACTCCTTTCAAAACATCCCTAGTCTTTTTACCAGCTTCTTGGCTGGGATCCGTCCACCTTGGATCTTGGTCTGGTCTCTGACTTTGCTGAGGTCTGGGTGCAGGCACTCCTATTCAGATCAAAACAAGCAATATGTATTGCTTGAATTAAACAATGTTTATGAAACATATTGAATTGTCTTCCATACAAGAAAACATGTAAAAGAAATTATGACTTGGGAATATCAGTGAATCAGTAATGCGTTGCACAAAATACATTTGCCAAAAAGTTAATTACTAAATGTTAAGGATTTTGTACACAAACTTGTCAAGGATTGCCTTTATACGTTGTCATTGTAGTACATTCAATTTTGTTCACACCAACAAAAATAGATTCAGACAATTCTGTGAGTCCCATTTGCAGTAGTTTGACCCAGATAATCATCATTATGACATTCAAACCTATTGTTTTTTTTATTAGGAAAAGTGTAATTTTGCAGGACAAATTGTCATTTTGACCTAGAAGAGAGTCAGGTCCTATCTGACCCGGATTCTGGGTCGAATCTGACCCAGGACTTAAAAGAGTGTAAGTTTGACTTTGATGGCAAACCACTGTTCCGTACATAGAGGGCGAACAGCTAACTGTCTGACACGCAACGCGACCCAACTGACGATCTGAATCAACCATGTGTTATGATGTTCGTGTTAAAATTGCAAACAGGCATCCTGGATTGACACTTATCAGTGATCTGTTTTGTTCTTTGGAATGTGCACAAGTCTCCAATTTCACAGTGTTAATTATTGTTTTTGTAGGAAACACGGTTGAAATTTTCTCGAAAAACAAAACTGTCATTGTGGCTGGGAAAAAAAGTTGTTTTTATGTCAAACGTGGCTGAGAGTAACATATCCCAATTTTCACGAAATTTTCAACTGAACTTTAATTTTGTAGTTATGTTCAGCATGCCCACATATTCTTATTCCCCCCCCCAGCTCTTTAATCTCATCTTGTAAACTGATTGCTATCAATTATTGAGAATGTTAACACTTGGATCACGTGATAAGTAGTAACTCAAGGCAAGTGAGTTTCCACGTGAACATTAAGCGACGGGAATCCGGACTGTAACTCATCCAATCCATCCAATCCCGGGTTGCCAGCAAGGTACAAGTCAGTCAGGCTTGGCATGTCACCTACCGCCGAGGTGACACGTCTAATGTCTGACGGTGTCAAGTTGCAATTGCTCAAGTCCAGCCTACTTAAGTGCCTCATTTTCGGCAATGCCGTGGCCCACAACTCGGCCGACGCGCCCAAAGCTTTGTTCTTATCCAGGATCAAGTCAGTAAGTTTGGGCATGTTGCATACAGCCGAGGCGATGTGTTCAAAGTCCGACGGTGTCAATTTGCAATCTCCCAGGACCAGCCTTTTTAAGTGGACCATTTTGGGCAATTCCTTGGCCCACAACTGAGCCGATTCAGCCAATTTCCAGCCGGGGGCAAGTATCAAGTCGGTCAGTCTGGGCATGTTGCCTACAGCCGAGGCAATGTGTTCAATGTCTGTTGGTAACAAAGAACAATGTTTCAGATCCAGCTTTTTTAAGTGCATCATTTTCGGCAATTCCTTCGCCCACAGCTTAGCCGATCCGCCCAATCAACGGTTGCCAGCCAGGATCAAGTCAGTCAGTCTGGGCATGTCACCTACAGCCGAGGCAATGTGTTCAATGTCTGTAGGATTCGCAACAAAATTGCCCAGGTCCAGCCTATTTAAGTGCGTCACTTTCGGCAATTCCTTGGCCCACAACTTAGCATTTCCGATCAAATTCCCGTTGCCGGCAAGGATCAAGTCAGTCAGTCTGGGCATGTCAGCTACAGTAGCAATAATGTGCTCAGCGTCTGATACTGTATAGCTGCAATCACTCAGGTCCAGCCTGTTTAAGTGCCTCATTTTCAGCAATTCCGTGGTCCACAAATCGACCGTTCCGCCCAATCTCACGTTGGTAGCAAGGCTCAAGTCGGTCAGTTTGGGCATGTTGGCTACAGCTGAGGCAATGTATTCCATGCTGTCCCAACCCAGTGCATAGCAAGCCAACTCAAGTCTGTTGAGGCTTGTCAAGTGTTTGATATGAGGGGCCCATTCTACAGCTCTCCTTGAAGCGATATTTAAGCCCAGTTCGGTCAAGTGTTGGTTGCCTTTCAGCGACAACAGGATCTTCCTATGGCCACCATTCCATGAATGACATCTGTTAATCCTCAGACTCCTGAGGTTTTCCATGTAACCCAGGGCGAATGATAAATCACTTACCCCAGACACACGAGAAACAGAAATAGCTGTAACACGAGAAATAGAAATAGCTGTAACACGTGCCAGCTGCGTCGTGCGGCTGTCTGACCTACAGATGATTTCAAGAAGGTACATGAGACTTTGGAATTCACTATCTTTATGCACCTCGATAGTGGATGGGATTAGTGAGTCGCTGGTGAGACTGAGTGGGACCTTTGCTGACTGGCTTTCAAGAAAGCAATTGCGACTAATCGCTTGTATGACATTTGATTGGTACCTGGGCTCATCCTTATTGAACTTACTGTCCAGCAAGTTTATGATGTCCATCATGCACTTCTCGTTGTCACCGCAACAAAAACGAAAGAGAAACTCATTGGAAACAACACCCTCAAATGTGGAACACAGTTGATTCAAAATCCTCTGATATTTAAACATGTTCAATTTGTTCTTCACACGCGTCAACAATCCAACGGTTGATGAAAGTTTCAGACTCTGCAAGTATTTTGCTGCACAGTATTCCTGCACAGTCTTGTGCATGAATTGTATGTTGTTATTGGACTTGTTTTTGATAACTCTCTGTTGGGTCAGGATGCCTGCTTTTAGTGCCAGCTCCAGCGCCTTCAGTTCAAACTCATCTTCTTGAAATGAGAATTTCTTGTTGGCACTTGTGAGTCCATGCAGCGCAATTTTTCCTATGGCAATCACTGTTTTTGATGCATAGTATCCAGAGAGATGTTTTCTTGTGAACATGTGATCAATTGCCTCAGAGAAGAGGCGTGAAGTTGTTTTGGGGAGTTGTTTACTCTTCCTCCACAATAAACACATGAGAAAGAGCAACACAGGTGTCTTAGCAAAATAACGCAGTGTGTTGGACTTTTTGATGGTTTGGATTAGTGCTTTGCCAATATCAGGATCTTTGTCATAGAATTTCTGGATGTAGTCATTAACATCCTCGTCAGTAAACCCCAGAACCTCTACATGTGTGCAAGGATCTTGGACAAGTGGTTTTAAAATCAGTGACATCAGTGACATCAGTATCTTAAGATGAGAGGGGCGAGTGGAGATACATACGAAACATTCCTTGTACACTGTTCTATCAAGTGCTTTAAGGATAGAACCGAATGAGGCTGCATTGAGTTTTTTGGTCTTCATTTCATCAAAACCATCCAAAAGAATCAAGACCTCATTTGGGTTGGCCAGGATGAATTGATCAAGTATATCCTTTTCTATTCCAGACTTTTTGCCAAGAAGTTGATCAAAAGTTGAATCAACAAGATCAGATTTTTGCGACAGGGCACACATCTTTAAAAGAAAGACAAGCTTGAATCCGTTCAGAATTTCGCTTGCCTCATCGGCCCAGTCGTATGCAATCTTATCAAAAATGGTTGACTGACCGACAATTCCCATGCCAGAGAAAATGAGGCGTTTGATAAGTTCCCCAAATCTTGCCCTCCTTCTGAATATTTTGGAATATTCCGTTGGGGTAATAATGTCTTCTTGGCCAGTGACAAATGGTTCCCCTTCACGTGTTTTGAATTGTACTTTAATGTTTATACCAGCTATGTGCATTTGGTCAATATCAACACCAGGCAACACCTTCACAGAACTGCACGTTGTTTTATAAACTCCTTTCAAAACATCCCTGATCTTTTTACCAGCTTCTTGGCAGGGATCTGTCAATTTTGGATCTTGGTCTGGTCTCCGACTATGCAGAAGTCTGGGTGCAGGCACTCCTGTTCAGATGGAAATACAAGAACCATGCCTTGCTTCAATATAATATTTTTGAAATGGATTGAATTGTCTTCCATACAAGACTTAGAAAATATGCAACAGAACTTTGGGATTTCCCCGTGCAAAATAGTAAGAAATTGCACAAATAAATTTGCCCAAAAAGTAAATAAATGAATGCAAGTTTGTACTGAGCTATTAGACACAAACTTGTCAAGTTTTGCCTCAACCCTAGAAGGGCCGGGTTATTTTGATCACCTCTCAGCCCGCGGCTTATTAATTGCTAGTTAATTATTCATATCGTATCGTCTGTGCCAGGCCACTGGCAGAGGGCACCATTACAGACTCACGGTGCAACCGTAGCGTCAGGACCCCTGCGCTTGGCAAGGCAGACCCATTACCAGACTGTGCCGACTCAGGAGTGGACATTTTTGTATAACGTTGCCTTGGTGGTGAGTTGTATACAAAGAGAGCCTCGTAGAGATAGTGACAAGAATAAATGGCCATAAGTCCCGAAACCCTGGAGGATGGTGTCTGTGGTTTCCTTCATCTGGCGTGTGAAAACCCTGGATCTGGTTGACGTTACATTGGTGGCAGCGGTGGGATGTCGGACGGAGGAAAAACAGGTAGAATTTCGAGTGTTTTTCCCCCATGAATACACAAGTCGACTTAGTCTGACGTCCGACTCGCAACACGGCGGGTACGCAGGCTGGATCAGGGCCTCGCAGTGTGTAGGCCAACCACATGAGATGGCCAGCAAGACGTTCATCACGTTGGATGACTTGGAGTCGGGAACCGTCCCGTCTGTACATGGCGGCATAGCAGATGCTCCGTTCCACTCGGAATGTTGTTAGGCTGTGCCTGTCGATGAGGCAGGGGCGGGGCTATGTTTAGGGATGCCACAGGATGATTTTTCCAGTATGCCAAAAGTCCCACTCTGTGTACGGCGGCGCAACAGATGCTCCGTTCCATTCAGATCACTGCTGAGTTGCGCCTGTTGATGCAGCACGGCTGGCCTGGTTTGATTGTCAGGAGATGCCCTGCGTCTTCTGCATCAACACAAGTGCCAGGGCCCACAAAGGGAACAGCCCCACAACACACATATTCATACAACGGATGCCTGTTTCCCTCCGAAACAGCTCTGTTCCACATAACATTCATACACCGATAAAACATTTCCTTCTTGAACAGCTTCGTAACACACACATTCATACAATGGACACATGTTTCCCCCGGAACAGTTCCAATCCACACACATCAATATAACAGGTGCATGCTTCTCTCCAGAACAGCCCCGTAACACACATACAACGGACGCATGTTTCCCTCCGGAACAGTTCCCTTCCACACAATCAATGGAGTGGAGCCGGCACAGTTGCTCCGCACGGGAGTCTATGGAGCAGAGCAGGTGGAGTTGCTCTGTGACAGAGTCAATGGAGTGCAGCCGCTGGAGTTGCTCCGCACAGGAGTCAATGGAGCAGAGCAGGGCAGTTGCTCCGCACGGGAGTCAATAGAGTGGAGCTGATGGAGTTGCTCTGCGCGGGAGTCCATGGACCAGAGAGGGCACAGTTGCTCTGCATAGGAGTCAATGGAGTGAAGCAGGTGGAGCTGCTCCGCACAGGGGTTAATGGAGTGGAGCCGCATGGGAGTCTAAGGAGCAGAGAAGGTGGAGTTGCTCTGCGAGGGAGTCAATGGAGCAAAGCCGATGGAGTTGCTCCGAGCGGGAGTCAATGGAGCGGAGGCGGCGCAGTTGCTCCGCGCAGGAGTCAATGGAGCAGAGCCAGCACAGTTGCCCTGCACGGGAGTTAATGAAGTGTAGCCGATGGAGTTGCTCTGCACAGGAGTCAATGTAGCAGAGCTGGCGCAGTTGCTCCGCACGGGAGTCTACGGAGCAGTGCAGCTGCAGTTGCTCCGAACATGGAGTCTATGGAGCGGAGCCGGTGGAGTTGCTCTGCGTGGGAGTCAATGGAGTGGAGCTGATGGAGTTGCTCCGCACAGGAGTCAATGGAGTGGGGCTGGTGCATTTGGTCCGCATAGGAGTCAATGGAGTGGAGCCGGCACAGTTGCTCAGGATAGGAGTCTTTGGAGCGGAGCCGGCACAGTTGCTCCGCACAGGAGTCAATAGAGCAGAGCCAGGCAATTGCTCTGCACGGGGGTCAAAAGAGCAGAGCCGGTGGAGTTGCTCCGCGAGGGAGTCAATGGAGTGGGGCACATGGAATTGCTCCGAGCGGGAGTTAATGGAGCGGAGCCAGCACAGTTGCTCGGCGTAGTAGTCAATGGAGCAGAGCCGGCACAGTTGCTCCGCATAGGAGTCAATGGAGCAGAGCCAGCACAGTTACTCTGCACGGGAGTCAATGAACTGGAGTCAGCGCAGTTGCTCTGCACTGGAGTCAATGGAGCAGAGCCGGTGCAGTTGCCCCGCACAGAGTCAACGGAGTGGAGCCAATGGAGTTGCTTCACACAGGAGTCTATGGAGCGGAGCTGAAGGAGTTGCTCCCCATGGGAGTCAATGGAGCGAAGCTGATGAAGTTGCTCCACACAAGAGTCAATGGAGCGGAGTCGGCGCAGTTGCTCCGCACGGAAGTCAATGGAGCGGAGCAAGCGCAGTTGCTCTGCACGGGAGTTAATGAAGCTTAGCCGATGAAGTTGCTCCGCACAGCAGTCAATGTAGCACAGCAGGCGCAGTTGCTCCGCACGGGAGTCTACAGAGCGGAGCCGGTGGAGTTGCTCTGTGTGGGAGTCAATGGAGTGGAGATGATGGAGTTGCTCCACACAGGAGTCAATGGAGCGGAGCCAGGCAATTGCTCTGCACGGGGGTCAATAGAGCAGAGCCGGTGGAGTTGCTCCGCGAGGGAGTCAATGGAGTGGGGCACATGGAATTGCTCCGAGCGGGAGTTAATGGAGCGGAGCCAGCACAGTTGCTCGGCGTAGTAGTCAATGGAGCAGAGCCGGCACAGTTGCTCCGCATAGGAGTCAATGGAGCAGAGCCAGCACAGTTACTCTGCACGGGAGTCAATGAACTGGAGTCAGCGCAGTTGCTCTGCACTGGAGTCAATGGAGCAGAGCCGGTGCAGTTGCCCCGCACAGAGTCAACGGAGTGGAGCCAATGGAGTTGCTTCACACAGGAGTCTATGGAGCGGAGCTGAAGGAGTTGCTCCCCATGGGAGTCAATGGAGCGAAGCTGATGAAGTTGCTCCACACAAGAGTCAATGGAGCGGAGTCGGCGCAGTTGCTCCGCACGGAAGTCAATGGAGCGGAGCAAGCGCAGTTGCTCTGCACGGGAGTTAATGAAGCTTAGCCGATGAAGTTGCTCCGCACAGCAGTCAATGTAGCACAGCAGGCGCAGTTGCTCCGCACGGGAGTCTACAGAGCGGAGCCGGTGGAGTTGCTCTGTGTGGGAGTCAATGGAGTGGAGATGATGGAGTTGCTCCACACAGGAGTCAATGGAGCGGAGCCGGCGCAGTTGCTCCGCATGGGAGTCAATGGAGCAGAGCCGGGCAGTTGCTCTGCACGGGAGTCTACAGAGCGGAGCCGGTGGAGTTGCTCCGCGTGGGAGTCAATGGAGCAGAGCCGTTGCAGTTGCTGCGCATAGGAGTCAATGGAGCAGAGTTGGTGCAGTTGCTCTGCACGGGAGTCAATGGAGCAGAGCCCCCGCAGTTGCTACGCACGGGAGTCAATGGAGTGGAGCCGATGGAGTTGCTCCGCATGGGAGTCAATGGAGCAGAGCCGATGGAGTTGCTCCGCACGGGAGTCAATGGAGCAGAGCCGATGGAGTTGCTCCGCACGGGAGTCAATGGAGTGGAGCCGGCACAGTTGCTCCGCGCGGGATTCAATGGAGCGAAGCTGGCACAGTTGCTCCGCACAGGAGTCAATGGGACAGAGCCCGGTGGAGTTGCTCTGCAAAGGAGTCAATGGAGCAGAACCGATGGAGTTGCTCTGCACGGGAGTCAATGAAGTGGAGCCAATGGAGTTGCTTCACACAGGAGTCAATGGAGCAAAGCCGAAGCAGTTGCTCTGGATGGGAGTCAATGGAGCGGAGCGGATGGAGCTGCTCCACATGGGAATAAATGGAGTGGAACCAACAGAGCTGCTCTGCACAGGAGTCAATGGAGGGGAGCTGGTGGAGTTGTTCTGCATAGGAGTCAATAAAGAAGAACCCAAAGAAGAACCCAGAGGAGACCCCGGAGGAGACCCCAGAGGAGACCCCGGAGAAGACCCAAGAGGAGACCCCAGAGGAAGCCCCAGAGGAGTCCAAAGAGGAGACCCTAGAGGAGACCCAAGAGGAGACCCCAGAGGAGATCCCAGAGGAGACCCTAGAGGAGACCCCAGAGGTGACCCCAGAGGTGAGCCCCAAGGTGACCCCAGAGGAGACCCCAGAGGGGACCCCAAAAGAGACCCCAGAGGAGACCCCAAAAGAGACCCCAGAGGAGACCCCAAAAGAGACCCCAGAGGAGACCCCAAAAGAGACCCCAGAGGAGACCCCAAAAGACCCCAGAGGAGACCCCAGAGGAGACCCCAGAGGAGACCCTAGAGGAGACCCCAGAGGAGACCCCAGAGGAGATCCCAGAGGAGACCCTAGAGGAGACCCCAGAGGTGACCCCAGAGGTGAGCCCCAAGGTGACCCCAGAGGAGACCCCAGAGGAGACCCCAGAGGAGACCCCAAAAGAGACCCCAGAGGAGACCCCAAAAGAGACCCCAGAGGAGACCCCAAAAGAGACCCCAGAGGAGACCCCAGAGGAGACCCCAAAAGAGACCCCAGAGGAGACCCCAAAAGAGACCCCGGAGGAAACCCCAGAGGAGACCCCGGAGAAGACCCTAGAGGAGACCCTAGAGGAGACCCCAGAGAAGACCCCAGAGGAGACCCTAGAGGAGATCCCAGAGGAGACCCCAGAGGAGATCCCAGAGGAGACCCTAGAGGAGACCCCAGAGGTGACCCCAGAGGTGAGCCCCAAGGTGACCCCAGAGGAGACCCCAGAGGAGACCCCAAAAGAGACCCCAGAGGAGACCCCAAAAGAGACCCCAGAGGAGACCCCAAAAGAGACCCCAGAGGAGACCCCAAAAGAGACCCCAGAGGAGACCCCAAAAGAGACCCCAGAGGAGACCCCAAAAGAGACCCTAGAGGAGACCCCAAAAGAGACCCCAGAGGAGACCCCAAAAGAGACCCCAGAGGAGACCCCAAAAGAGACCCCAGAGGAGACCCCAAAAGAGACCCCTGAGGAGACCCCAGAGGAGACCCCAGAGGTGACCACAACGGAGACCAGGAGACCCCAGCAGAGGCGCTGCTTGTTCGGAGACGAACAAGGGTCCTTGGAGGGGGCTGTGTAATGGGGTCCTGGGCCGCCAGCAGAGGGCGCCAGCACGGACTCAAAGTGTAACCGTAGCGTTGGAGCCCCTGTGCTTGGCCAGGGAGACCCGTTGCTGGACTGCACCGACTCAGTAGTGGACATTTTCATATAACGTTGTCTTGGTAGTGAGTTGTATAAAAAGAGAGCTTCAGGTAAGAGAGTGGCAAGAATAAATAGCCCCGAAACCCTGGAGAATAGTATCTGTGGTTTCCTTTGTCTGGCGTGTGAATACCCAGGATCCGGTCGACGTTACAATATGCATGAATTGTAATTCTGCTCTGTGTACACTACATAAATGCAGAAATACAGTTTTCCTGGGTAGCGAAATGTTTTTTTAATGTACCCGTATCGCAAAAACAGTTGTCGGGGGGGGGGGGGGGGGGGCGGAACCACGGCCCTTTAGGATTGAGTCCATAGATTCACACTTTGTGCAAAAAGCAAAAACAAAGCGAAATTTCAGAGCACAAATTTCGCTTTTGCACTTGCTTTCGCTCAAAGTATGAACTGACCTACAATGTCATGTACTATATGTTTTCACTATTTTTTACACCAACAAAAATAGATTCAGATCAACAACATGGTACTGCAGTAGGTGTACAAACAAGTTAACTGGACAGTGTTAACCCAAGATGAACTACATGTACTATTACAGAAGTGACTTGAGTCAAGTCGAGTCTTCTTAAAGAAGTGACTCAAGTTGAGTTCATTAGGTCTAGAATGTCATGTCGAATCCAGGTGAGCAAATATTTAGCTAGAGTCAATTTAGAGTCATGAATGTTTGAACACTATATAACAACTAGACAAGAGAGAATGTCATTTGTATCAGTGTCAACGAAAAGTGAAAAAGTAAAAATATGATCTTACATACGCCATCTGGTGTGGCTTTGGGTCTAGAATTTGTTTTCACTGATCTCTGACATCAAAACCAAATGGTGTTATACAGGGCGAGTAAAAAAAGCGGAACCCAAACCTCAAAAAAATATATTTCAAATCTAAATAAATATGTCGCACCAAAAAATAATAATAAGTGGAAAGCCAATTTCATAAACTACTTTTGGATGACCCCTTTTTGACTCACTCTGTACAATACTGTTTCTGATTATTTAAAAGTGCTAGCTTTTAAAGGGAAGATACAACACTTGCAAATATTTAAAAAAAAAAACAATATGATCAAATTATCACAAAATATTTTACTGGATTGTTAGGGGATGACATTCTAAAGCACCCTGTAAAATCGTGGCTCCTGGTGTGCTGATATTTTCAAGAAAACTGGTATTTTTCCAACGCTGGTTGGCCGACCAGCGTTGGAGAAATCTGTTTGTTTTTTCTGCTCTTAATTTTTCACAAAAAGTTTTTTCGCATTATCTACAAGAACTACAAGAACATGATGTTTTTCTTGGATTTTCCAGCATCTTCAAGCCCAAAGCGTGAAACAAGTCAGTTTTTCAATACTTGCTATAACATTCTAATCCCCCAAATCCATTAACTACTGAAAATTGCAGCAAGAGCAAATGTTGTACATTCCCTTTAAAAAGAGGGCATAAGTTTAGCCGGCCTTCGAATCCAAGTGCTTTATAAAAATTGCCCAAAGCCAATGATGAAATAACAAAATGCAAAAAGGGGTTTAAAATCCAGTTCCTGCTTAGTATTTTTTGCGTTCCAGAACCATGAGGTGGGAGTCTGTGACACGTAGTATGTTTGTATACGACAAGCAGCCGCTGTAATGACTGTATTTGCAAACTGACGTGCACATAAATCTAATAATTGCAAATGTTTTACTAGTGAATCTCAATCTCAACAAACTAGATTATATTTACCTGGTCCCTCCAACGGGAAGTTGTAAGTGACGTTTACTCCACTAGAACCAGAAACGGTAGGGTAGTTGCTACCGCCGACTGCACCAAGGTCTTCGATGGTTCCAGTTTGTTGTGGGGAATCTACAATCAGAAGCAAAAAGTAAAATATCCCTAAAAAATATAACGGCCAACAAAATGTTGCATGTACATGTACTCGATTCCAACTCGGTCGTCCATACTTGGAAAATGTCTTTAAAAGAAGATTTTTTCTTAACTGACTGTTTATAGAAAAAGAAGTACATGAAAAATCTAGGCTATAACTAAACAAATCTTGGGGTCTGGTGGGGAGGGGGAGGGTGGTAAATGCCCCTCCATGCCCAAGTAGGGTTGTAAATTGACTCCAAGCAACTACATGTACTGCGTACTCACCTGTTGCAAATGAGGGGGCGGGTACCTGAGCCTCCTGTTGCATCGTGGTAGGGACATCAGTCCGTTGGTAGGCTGTTTCAGATTGTTGCAACGTGGTAGGGACATCAGTCCGTTGGCAGGCTGCTGCAGATTGTTGCATCGTGGTAGGGACATCAGTCCATTGGCAGGCTGCTTCAGATTGTTGCATTGTGGTAGGGACATCGGTCCATTGGCAGGCTGCTGCAGATTGTTGCATCGTGGTAGGGACATGAATCTGTTGGCAGGCTGCTGCAGATTATTGCATCGTGGCAGCACCTATGGGAGCAGATAACAAGTGCATGTCAACTCGGTCACAAATCAACTCAATCCCATGCCAACTCAGTCCCAAGTCAACTCGTTTCGTACGAAAAAATAAATAAATGTACGCAAACAAAGATCTGATAATAAGTCTTTTGCCAATCTTTTCCAAGGACTGAGGGGGATGGGGGATGACTAAAATAAAAAAACCTGCCCATTGAATACTTAGCCCCACTTGTGTGGCCTCGGTATTGCTGCGCCGTACGTCAGGCAACACGTCTGGTTTCCCAACGTACTGAGGAGTTTAGTCCGAAATTGGCACATATGGACTCCAGAAAGATGTCTAAATTTCTCAATAATTTTGAGAGTCCCAAATTTTCGGACTATAGGGCCAATAAGTATAGAATATTAAGACTTAATTTAGTAAGAAGAGGAAAAAAATGTTGCAACCTGACGCCCACTTTTATCTAAATAATCTCAATGAACATGATGAAGATCATTCATTGCAAAATGATGATAAGACATGAATCTGGGAATGGAAAATACTTCCAATTTTGTTGTTAGGAATTACTTAGAAGTTAGAACATTTTCTTGACTCTCCATTTTTATTTGCGGAAGCTACTGTCTACACCGTACACGGTCTAGTTCACTACCTTGTTGCAACATTTTTTTCCAAAAGATGTGTCACTCACTGTCAGCTTTCTCACTACAATTCGCTGACAGCCCTCCACACTTCTTTCTTGCTGAGCTTCTGTTGTAAGCAATATATGTGAAACTGTAACTGTTGTCAGGTTGTAATTACAATTTTCAACAGTTGTCGAAGCCAAGCCCAAAACCACTTCACCTGTTTACAAAACTGCTTCCTGTTCCTGATGATATCCATCGATCGATCTGTGTCAGATGAAATGGCGCCCTCTCTTGATTTTATTTATTTATTCGGACTCCATGAATGCACTACGGTGGCCCCAAATCAACACGCGATTTCACTTGCAATTTCATCTAAATAAGAAAGACAAAAGTTTCTTTATCCACATTTGGTAGTCTTCATTTTCACTCATAATGGATTTAAGCCTAAATGCTGTTGTGCATCTATGCTTCGCTTGCAGTTTTAAGTGGTCTTCACACTAAAGTTCTACAAAATGAACACAAAATATGAAATGCATGAATATTTCATATTTGCCAGCTAGTGCACCTTTAACTCTATTCTGTATGTATGGCAATTAATTTGTCCGCCTTTAAATGATCAATTATCGCTGCAAGACGTATTTGTTTTGTTCTTTCGTATCGGATTATCATCAGTGGGGTACAGGCGTACTAAAGCCAGGATTTTTTTTCACTATGGGGGAAGGGGGGGGGGGGGTGGGGGAGGAGCATATGTTATAAGGGGCACCAATTATAGCTAGACCCAAAACAACATTTCCCCTAATTTCCAGATCGATGCAAGTGCTGCAATTTAAAAAAAAAGGGGGGGGGGCACCACTTTTTGATGAGGGCGCTCTTTTTTTTAACAATTTATTTGCATTTCATAAAGCTGTATATAAAGTCACAAATAGCCATTTAGATTCCTCATTGCTTTGGTAACAAACCAAAAAAACTTTAAACATGCACTTTCTTTAAATGCATGCAAGCAGCAGATTTCAGATTTAATTGTTGAGCCCCCCCCCCCCCTCGACTGATAGCTAATTCATTCTGCACTATACTCATATGCCTCTGTACTTGAACTGCAGTGGCTTGAATATGAATATTGGGTGCTTCTAGGAAATTGCTTCAAATGTGGGCGTCATTGCAATCGGTGGGGGACAGGGGGCGGGGGGGGGGGGGGGGGGGGGGTCCCCCACTTTTTAAGGTTGGGGGGGGGGCAGGGATATCATATTGTTTCCCCCCTCTCACTTTTTCATCCCCAAATAAAAGCTGTAACCTTCTATAATGAGTCTTAATGTAGCTCACAATAGCTGCTTCAATGACCGGCCCGAACTCAAAAATGTTTTTAAGATGATCTACGGCAAAAAAAAAAAAAATATGGTTTTAGTGGTCAGAAATTGCCTCAGATCGCACCACAGAACTTCTAGTATCCGTTTAGGCTTTGAGCGCACTTCAAGCTGGCATTAGTCCTGTTCAAGGTATGTCCCCCCCCCCCCCACTTTTGAGAATTGGTTGACGCCCACCCTTAAAGGTTAAACTTCCATCAAGTAATAAACATACAGAAGAGTAAACTGTAAAACAATGTTACGTAAAAAGAGTGTGATTTTATTTACACATTTTTATTGGGTTTGACTAAAAATAGGAATTTTCAAGGTGCGTTTATACATACAAATATTATGTATGAAAGGCATATTTGGTCCGAATTGCAGTTTAGGAAATTAATTCTAATTGATTTTAAGTTTAATTTTAAACTAGATTTTCACACTGTAAAATGTTGGTACACAAGGACAAAGAGATATCTCCACAAGGATAGACATTTCAGTACATGGCAATCATCGGCAATATGGAATATGAACAATTTCAAATAGAATTTGTGGGCTTCGCTATTTCTTGTTGAACAGTGTGCAGGGGCGTAGCATGGTCATTTTTATTGGGGGGGGGGTAAAACTTTTTGAAAAGGGCACTTGCACATCCGTTGTGAAATGTAGACAGGTTTTTTCTTCGGACAAACAGGTTTTTTTCTCCGGACAAATCAAAAAGGGGGGGGGGGGGGCTGGTACCTGTCGATGAGGGCGCTGTTCAAAACCGACAATTATGCACACAAAGGGCCAATATATAGTGCTTTTCAGGGTGATACATGTGCGAAATTCTCAAAAAGACACCCAAATGCCACAACAAAAGGGCACCACTTCTTTTTGAAAAGGGCACTTTTTACAATTTTTTTCGGGGATAAGCCCGTTGAAAAAAGGGCGTTTGAATGGAAAAAGGCAGTCTTTGTGAACAATCACACACAAATGCAGAGAAAAATATAGGGTAAACCACACATCAGGTAATTATGTCATGGGTGAGTCAATAATGAGCACATGCCGACAAAATAAAATTTAAGTTTATGCCTTTGTTCGGGTTTGCTAAACCAGTGAGATTCTACTCTTTTACGGTTAAATTATGAACAAAAATTACAAGCTGTACATCAAATACCAGTACTCTCACAAAAACAGAGAATCCATAATGAAAATGCCACACTTGATTATAGTAAAAAATGATTAAGTACTATAACAAAATTCATGAAAAACTAGTACTACAGCTGCCATTTTGATGGGAGTTTTGGGCTGGGCTTGGTTGGGCCTGGCCTTGCTTCATTGGTCACCTCGATGGAATGTCAGAATTGTAGACTGCTGGAACTTGTCGGGAATAGTAGACTTGGCGGGATTCACAGGTTGGATGCAAGGGGGACGTTGACCACGTGGAAGCCAGCCACCGCCCAGTATCAAATTTCTGATTTGCTTTTGCTGTGGTGCCTAGAACAGCACAATTAAGAGAATGAACTTTTAAGCATGGCAGGTTTAATTGGAGAAAATAGAGACAGTAAAAACAGAGGATCAATATTAGGTTCAAAGGTAAAGTCCACCATTTGTAATTTGTGCAATTTGTTCGTTTGAGGCAACAAAAGTGCTCAAAATCTAAAAAAGGGTACTGAACAACTAACCTGATGAAGTTTCAGCATATTCAGCACAGCTTCAGCTGTATATTCCAAGAAAAACAGCATTCTAGGACCTCAATTTCAAATCAAAAGTTGCTAAATCATGTTTTAAATTATGCCTGAATTCAGCATCCGAGACATGTTCTCACTGAGCCGATTGCAGCTACGCGATGTCGCGCACTGATCTGACAAATTATAGCAATTGCGCGTGCGTCGTGCCAATGCTTGCGCGCGCTTTGCCAAATAACAAAACGAACTACTAATTTAAATTTCCTACGGTGCGTGCTACCGTTGGAAAGGCCTTCTTTCATTGCAGATTACTTCAAAATGACAGCTTGCCAGAAAGAATAATTTCATGGGGAGTTTAGTCCCCTTACTATCTATCAACCAAGTATGTTTTTCAACAATTATTACGCAAGTTAGATTTCGGATAGCTGCAAATGATGGACTATACCTTTAACCATTCACCGATGTATAAACAATACTCACTGTGTTAACTCCCAAGTGAAAGTTGAAACAAAAAAAATCACTCAGGTGGGACTCGAACCCACGACCTCCTGCTTTCTAGTGCAGGTGTCTTACCACTCGAACCGAGCTAACAAGATCGGTTGGCTAGTCCGAATCTGACGTACATGTAGTAGTGGGTACCGCAGTAAACTAGTTATAATGGAATTTACGTCGGGGTGATGTAAATCAACGTTAGGTTTTGCCCTTCACAGACGTATAAACAAATGTATACTCAGTGTGTTACCTCCCGAGTGAAAGTTGGGAAAATCACTCGGGCAGGACTTGAACCCACAACTTCCTGCTTTGTGTATACATCAGGGAAAAAGCAAAACCTAATATTGCTTTACACACTTTAAAAAAAAAAGGTCCCAGGTCAGATTCGACCCAAACCCAGGTCAGATTGGGCCTGCTCTTTTCCGAGTCAAAAATACTCTTAATTGGCGCCTTACCAGCTTTTTGACCCAAGGAATTGTCATTTGACCAAAAAGTGTCATTTTGACCAGAAAGTGTGTTAAGTCATATCTGACCCAGATTCTGGGTCGAATCTGATCCAGGACTTATAAGAGTGTATAAGTTCAACTACGATGACAAACCACTGTGTCATTTATGTAGAAGCTGAAGAGAATCGATCTGACATAATCGTCATGTTGACATAGACAATTGTCATTTTTGACATACAAATGTCGTTACGCATACAATGTGCGGAGACATGTTTAAAATTTAATTTATGCAGTAACTTTTTAAAAAAATCTTCTTAACATTACCCATGCTACGACAAAAGACACGCACCTGTATTAACCCTGCAGAAATTTGGCAACATTTGCTCTTCCGTCCTTCTTCAGTGCGTTGCACAACGTGGTCCTCTGCTGTTCAACACTGGTGGACTGGGCATTCCTCCATGTTACAAGCATATGAAGACCTTGCCTTGTGATATCGCCTGGGAAATTTTTCTCAATAGTCTGAACCTGTACCATCGTAAAGTCCAGCTGAAATGCCAGTGTTGTCCAATTAGGACCAAGCATCTTAGCGACCTCGTTCAGAGTTTTGTCATCTAAAGCTTGTTCTGAAAAATTAATAACGATAGGTATATTGAGTAATACTATGAATAATCCACGCCCAATATAGGCCAAAAAATAATTGCTGCCTAATTGCTGACCTCAACAGTTTTGCTGCCAATTATTAGATGCAAAAGCATTTGATTTGTATCAAAATCACGCAGCGTGTTGGACTTCCCAATGGTTCGGATAAATGCATTGCCACTATCAGGATCTTCAGCATAGAATTTCCCAGCATATTCATTAACATCCTCGTCAGTAAACCCAGAACCTCTACGTGTGTGCAAGGATATTTGACGAGTGATTTTGACATCAGTGTCTCAAGATTAAAAAAAGGTGGGTTGATACACCAAAAATACGCACACAGTAAGTTTTCTCTAATGGTTTTTTTTTTGATAGAACCAAATGAGGCTGGCTGCATCAAGTGTTTTGGTCTTCATTTCATGAAAGACACACATCCAAAAGAATCATGACCTCATTTGGGTTGGCCAGGATGAATTTATGAAGTTCATTTTTTTTCAAATCCTAACTATTCGCCAAGAAGTTGATCACATCTTCAAAAGAAAGACAAGCTTGAACCTCTTGGTTGACTTTCCTCTGAGGCCAAGGAAAACGAGGAGTGTGATGAGTTCACCAGCTCTTGTCCTTAATCTGAATATTTTGGCATACTCTGTTGAGTTTACCTTTTCTCCTTTCTGGCCAGTCACTGCTACCCCTTACCGCATTTCTAACTGTACTTTAGTGTATATACCAGCTATGTGCATTTGGCCATTATCAACCCCGGGCAACAACTGCCTGTTCAATTATAAACTTCCTTCAAAATGTCCCTAGTCTTGTTACCAGCTTCTTGGTAGGGATCCTCACCTCTTGCTTGTTGGTCTGCTGCCAGCTGATTTTGCTGAGGTCCGGGTGCACCCATTCCTATTACAAAACAAGAAAAAATGTGTTGCCTCAATTAAACCGTGTTTAAAAAACGGATTGAATGTCTTCCAAGACGTAGAAAATATGTAACAAGAAAAATGTGACTTGGGATTTCCAGTGCTTTAGTATGGCATATTGCACCAAAATAAATTTGCCAAAAAGTGAATAAACAAACGGTTTCGCTTTTGTACTGCTGTTGGACACAAACTTATCAAGGGTTGCCTTATATATTGTGTACAACGTCATTTACTTTTTTTTATTACACCGACAAAAATAGATGCAGACAGAAAAAATTAGTAACTGCAGGTGTACACAAAAATAATTGATTAGACATTGTAATATCCCTAGATCGACTAAGATTATAGCAATAACCTTCTTGTGGTTATCACTTTACTCCAAATAAGCCATATCTGGTTCCTTAAATTGTTACTGAAGGCAAGTTCAAGTCAATCGCAATGTACAAACTATTCGCTGGGAAGGGCTGATGAATTCCGCTATGATTGGGTAGATTTTGCGTGACCTGTGACCTGCAAGTCGTCACAGCCACGACCCTGCAAGGTTTCAAACGGCCATTAAGACCGAGTCACTACTCTTTTATTCCCATTCTTAATACTCATTTTTTGTTGAAAAGCGTAATAATTTAGGAAAATCTGTAAAACTGTTTTGTAAATTTTCATTTCTCGTCACTTGCTCAGGCTCCGTCGCATTTCTAACTCATGAAGGGTCATGCGACGCTCAAATTGTGTCCACATGGTCTGCAGTGAAAAGGAAATCACATCCAGTATGGAATGCATGCACTTCTATGAGAAAGTTTTCAGATAGCATTTGCGCGCATGAGCTAACCGCAGTCTTAAACAGCTGCAGCTGGATGCTAAATGATACAGGTCATGATAAGTTACCCACAATGCCACCCCACTTCCTTCTCAAGATTCTGTGAAGCTCATCAGCCTTTCCCAGCGCCCTGTTTGCAGGGCAGGGAGTACGAGCGAAATTGTTGTGCCCAAAGAAAATTGGCGATGTGCCAGCTCACAGAACTGGCAATTGGTCTTTTGTGTCCATGTTAATGTAGTATACTCGATTGGTTTCATCTTAACAAGATTATACATGTATTTACCTGGTCCCGCCATTGGGAAGTTGTAATTGATATTAACTGCACTTGAACCAACAACAGTAGGGTTGTTGCTACCACTGATATTGCCGATGTTTCCGATGTATCCAGTATGTTGTGGGACACCTACAAGCAGATGCAAAAAGTAAAATATCCTTTTAAAAAAATAACAGCCGATAAAATGATACATGCACTTGATTCCATCTCCAATTGTCATCTGAACTTAGAAACATTAATTGTCTTTAAAAGAAGATTAAATTGTTTTTTTTTTAAGATTTCCGTACTAGGCCACCACTTTTTTCAAGCGCCAAAAAGTTGCATCCTTTATGGTTATTTCCTCCACTTTCCCTCCTCTACTCTCACCCTCTCCTTTCCTTTATTCCTATTTATTAATCAGTCACTTACTTCATCGAGATTCGAACCTCGGACTCTTGTTTGGAACACAACACTTTTCCCGCTAGACCACGCGCACGATCGCTTGGCAATGATCAATCTTTGGACATATTTAAAGTATCCATTGAAATCAACTAAATATTCCTGAGAAATTAAATATTCATAATGACGTACTGCACTGTCATTGGCCGGCTCATGCGTTGTCATGGTTGTCAATGTCATGCGTATAACATACCGCTGTCTTCCAGACACTTCAATCAAAATGACAGGCTGCCTCCAACTTAGTTCTGCACGACGTGTGCATCCAAAAATGTGCTTTAAAAACACATTTGTCCTAAATTTTTGTCGCATTGCCAGAGCTTCCTGGATTCATTTTGGGTGAAATCACAAGGTGAAGTGAAAAAAAATGTGTTGACGGCAGGTAAGTGGTGGCTTAGTACAGAAATCTTCCCGTTTTTTTTTTATTTGACCGTTCATAGAAAAGAAGAAAATGAAAAAAAAACAGGCAATGACTCAGAACAAATTTTTGGGAGAGGGGAAGGGTAGCACCGTGGCAGTCCCGGCCCCTCCACTCCCCAGTAAAGTTATAAATTGACTTCAACTGCAACTAGCTATACACTAGCCCCATAAATGTGGCCAATTTACTAGATATTCCTCCGTAAATAAAGGCCACACTTCCACTATGTACAAAAACATGTCGAACTTTGTCAAAATTTTATTTCCGCATTTAGGCTTTAGTATATTTTTGCTATAGAAGCAAACATGTACTCACCCTCTTTATAGGCTAATCAGAAAGTGCTGCCTTTTTCAGATGTCTAGTTTTCGGGAAATTTCATGTTGAGATTTCGATACGCAAACGTGTGCACACGAATCTGGAAATTTCACGAAAAATAGACATCTGAAAAAGGCAGCACTTTCTGATTAGCCTATAAAGAGGGTGAGTATGCTTCTAACATGTCTAAAGCAAAAACAAATTACAAACTAAGCCTAAATGTGAAAATGTAAATTTACCAAAGTTCGACATGTTTTTTGTACATGGTGGAAGTGTGGCCTTTATTTATGGAGGTAGTCCAGTAAATTGGCCACATTTATGGGGCTAGCTACTGCAGATACTCACCTGCCTCCTGTTGCATTGTGGGAATGTAAGTACACTATATGACTATAGTCTGTTGGCAAGCTGCTTCAGACCACTGAGCCACATGGACGTCCTGCGTGTCGGAATGAAAAATTCTCTGTCACATTTTGTTTGTTAGTTGCAATCTTGTGAATATTTTGGCGATCATGTAGTCTTGGGCCCCTGTTTAGTTTTAAATTAGAGTCAAGGGTGTTTTTTTATTAGTCAGAATGACCTTTTCATTCTAAAGCAGACTTCTCTAAATATTTGGCGATCGTGAAGTGAAGGGCCCGGTTCCCTATAAGGGAACAAAATCCACTTTAAAAATTATTAGACCTACCAAACTAGTTGGCGACATTCTCAATAAAGAGGTATGTCATAGATAGAGGGCAGGGTTTTGATTTTTTTTTTAAGGGGGGGGGGAATTTGGGGGTAAAATGACGATGACAGCGCGGCGACAACACGCGACCCGAAAATAAAAAAGGCAGTCACCGCGCGATGTACCGTGAGCACGCACAGCGCGCTGAATCGCAAGGCACAAACCACGCAGGAAAATCGTGTTTTCTACCCCTAGAATCTGTTCAAAATTGCAAAACGGGTGTCACTAGAATTGAGAGACGTCTGCTTTTGATTGTAAAGGTGATTTTTGAGCAAACAAAAATATTTTTGACTCTAATTTGATCAAAATAAAACAGGGGTCCTTCACTTCACTATCGCCCAATATTTGACACCTTTTCTTGTAATTTTTGAACAGTTTCTCGGGGTACAAATTACTATTTTTCCTAAGCAGCTTACGGTTGGTGCCGTGCGAATTCATCTGCGAGCCTTGCGAAAAATAAGAAAAAAACAATTCTGACAAACATCGGGCTGGGCACAGTATTGAGGAGAGTCCCAAATTTTCCGACTAGTAATAGCATGGAGCTATAAAAAGGAGCTCAATGGTAATAGTATGTTACGAGAGATAATATTAATAATTGTTTATCAGAATTTATCAAATTTACAGAAATTCTTAAATGTTAATTTGGAATTGGAATTTTCCCGAGATTTATTGAAGTGCGCCACGTTTAAGAGAACACTCCACCAATTTGTGCCCTATTTCCGGACGCCACCGTTTTTGAATTTCGGATTAATAGGCTAAATTTTATAAAACCAAAATCGTTCACAAAACTTTGTCAGTTTGTAATGTCCACTTACCTCAGTCTCAGAGAAGCGTCTGTAGAGTTTATCTGTGAGACTAGAACTGGTGTCTGGTGAATTTGAGCAAAATTTTGAAAGTGTTCTTCTCTAAAAAAGTACTGTGAACGGAATTTACTATTCTGACTCACTTCGCCATTGCGAAATCCCAGCAGTGAATGGGATTTCCCTTACGTCATATAGCTAAAAAATATACGGGGGAATGGGGGAATCCCCCAAAGCCAATCAGCAAGGGCGCCCTCTGCGCCCGCTTATTATGTGTGGAGTCAACCTCGTCCCCAGTGCTTACTTTATTTCCAACCGCGTTTCCAATAGGAAACTTTCTTCCTGTATCCTGATTGGATACCGCAATTGGCTAGTAATGGATTTTTATCGTGCACTTGGTGCTATATATTCACAACGTGCAGTTTCCAATTTGCTCATATTAATATGAAATATGATACTGCATGTTGTCTCGATAAGATCGTAACAGTTTGATTTCAAAAATCGTGTTTTCGTAAAAACTCACACCGTGCTCGCGCTGCTACGATTTGACTCTGTTTTTACCCCAGACACCGAATACAAAAACAAACGCTAATGTGTAACGCATATCCAGGCACCAGACTGTTCCTCATTTGCATCCGTGTGCAAAAATCTTGCACATGCAAATGATCCAATACCAGGGTGAGAGAGCAGGTAGTGGTGGGCGCCTACTGCTCAACACCCTGGGGACGAGGTTGAAGTGGAGTAGTTCTGAAGGGGGGGGGGGGCGGAGAAGAGTACGTATTTGCATATGCCGCAATCGGGTTTCATAATTCATTGTGCTTTTATTGGGCTTCGTTTTTTTCCTTTTCCTGTTACCCTTTTTTTCTTTTTTTTTCTTTTGGCAAAAAGTGTTCCTGAAAGTTTATAGTCGTTCGTGTTTACGGTGTTTCTGTAGTGTTAGTACAAAAGTAAAGCAAATAATTATTGTTAAAATACGGGTGCATGTGCTGTTTTTATCCACATACATTTCCAACTGTGTGAACGCAAAACGGAAGTTATAATTCGTTTTCTTTGACAAACCCATTTTAAAAAGCAATAGGGCCTACTGAAACTTGATAATCGATACGTTTTCCCTTTTTCTTAAGAAAGGAGTAAAAGGGTGTTTCTTTTTCCTTTGATGTACATGTATCACAAACGATACAAAAGTACTAAAGGATTCGTTTTTCCATTTTATTTATTCGATTTTAAAACAGTTTAATTGATTGGTATTCGCGAGGTTCGTGAATTACGTTACAGAAATATGTCACTCAGATAGTGCAAATTGCGTGGGAATTTTGAAATTTTCGGGTTCGCTTATTGTGTTGCATCCCAACGGCCTTCTTTTTACAAGTCAAAACAACTTTGAATGTTAATACAACATAATAGAATATACAATTCACACGAAACGATCACGCCAAAAACAATTGTAAGATACAAACATATACATGTATCTAAATTGAACCTGAATGCAGTCAATACGTCTATTCCATCAGATTATTACTTGCAAAAAGGGCGAATTTCCAGTTTTTTTTATTTGGAAGAGTTTTAATGAGTGATTCAGATATAAATTTAAAAAAAAAGTAAATAGCTAATCTGCTTCAGTAAATTGAAATTATAAAATCTTTCGATTCAGTAAATCAGTGTTAACAAAGTGAATTATTCATCATCTTAGCTGGTGCAAGACACTGTCATAGACTGCGGTGAATTCAAGGTGACATCGCACTTGATTTATATCGAAAATGTTAGAAGTTTCTTTGTATCCATATATTTCAATCAATCAATCAATAACTCTATATTCCACATAACATTGTGCAACAGATTTAAACGAATAAAATTAAGATACACATTTATCTTTGATTTTAAGATAAATGTGAATGGAGGTCCTCCGAAAAGCAGAGCTTGTCGAGTTGGGGCTCTCACATTAATTCATGTTTCGACACATGATTATGAAATAATGACACTTACACATTGGTAAGACAAAACAATATGATTAGTAACAGAAATAAGGAACACATAAACGAAACCTGTAACCAGTAACCCCATGAGACTACATCAGTTTCCAAATAATTATTCAAGTCTTATATTTACGTTTAAATAGAGACAGACTGGATGCACTTTTTAAGGAAGTATCTAATGAGTTCCGCAGCTTAGGACCCTCATGCTTTAGTTTTGGTTGTAAGCTCGATGGTGCAAAGGAACAATGAAATTCACTAAACTGTCTTGTAAAATGGTGATGACTTTTGTATGAACATTGAACAAATAGATTTAGGAAGTTAGTATTGATGCATGAGGGTAGCTAGCTGGGAAGAATATCACTGACTTTTAATGTTTTACAGTGATAGAACAGAGGATTACTATGTTCTTGAAAAAAGGTCACATTTAATTTACACAAACCCTTTTTTTGAATTTCAAAGGAACTTCAAAATACAACATTTGCAAACATCACAAAACGAAATGATCAAATTATCACAAAATACCTAACTGGATTGTTAGGGAATGACAGTCTAAATCATCCTGTAAAATCGTGGCTGCAATTATTGATTACACACCTGTATAGGGGTACAAGCCTGCTAGACTGATTCTCTGACCTTACAATTCACCAAAGTCTATAAACTGCTCCGTTTCATCTTAAGTGGGGTCAGGAAACCAGACTACAAGAACATGATTGGTTTTCCCAGCATCTACAAGCCCAAAACGTGAAACAAGTCATTTTAACAATATTTGCTTTAACATATACTAATCCTCCAAATCCATTTATTTCTGAAAATTGCAGCACAAGCAAATGTTGTACATTCACTTTAAGTATTCTATTATCATTCCAATGCCACAATCGCCCCATACAATATGATATGTATGGTAAGACTAAGGCATTGTACAAATTCAAAAAATATCATGTGTGAAGAATGCTGTTAGCTTACATAATGAGGCCCATATTTCTGGATATGACTGAGCAGATATAATTAATGCGCTTTTTCCATGAAAGGTCTTGGTCAATATACAATCCCAGAAATTTAGTAGAATCAGGGTGTGTAATAGTAGTTGGTACTTTTTTTTTGGGTAGTCTTGATTTTCAACGGATATAATCCCGAATACAGTTGCTTAGGCAACCGGTATCCCCGCCCCCTTTGATGCTGGGTCCGGGACAAAACAATGATTCCATCACTCGCAGTTTTTTTTTTTAAATCGATCTTCACATCGATCTTCGCACCAACGTTTATACAAATTATAAACAAAACATCAACAATTTTGGTTTTAGTAATCCCAAAACCAGTCGAATGGCCATTTCTTTCTACGGTATTTACACAAATATACAATTGTCTGGCCAACGTGTCTATAAAAATATAATTTTATTTACAAAAATATACACGTAGTTGCCAACAGTGGTTGGATTAATCACAAAAGTACTCGAATGTTACTCACTGTTTTAACGTTATACATAATTATATACTTGCATGCTTGTTATTTGGCCAACAAGTTTGAACTTGTGAAGGAAATGGACCAAAACACCCAAACAGCCTCAGGGTTTGATAAGAAATCAACGAGTACCATACATCCACTGGGTTTTCAAATCAATAATGTTTTCTTGCACACACGTTCAGGTTTGAAGCGTATTATAATTTTGTTTGCCAATTTAAAATGCTTTGCAGATGCACAATCGGCAAATCAGATTTGACCCGAATCTAGGTCAGAGTTGACCTTGCACTTTTCCGGGTCAAAATTACACTAGCTTCCAGGCTAGGGCCACCCTTCCGGCCATTTGACCCAGATGATCCTCATTTCGACTAAAATAATTGTGATTTTGACATAGTTTCTGCTTTCTGCTTTTTACCATGTTTACATGCATTAAAAACTGTCATTTTGACCTAGAAGTGTGTCAGGTCGAATCTGACACGGATTCC